CCACTAAAAGTTAACGACAGCGCGTACCAGCTCTCTACGCTGGGCGTACTCGACTGTCATGTAGGCATCAAGGATGCTCGACCCCTACGCTGCGCGTATTGGGATTATGCCAAATGTACACCCCAGTTTCAATCTTTCTACTCATTTGGTCTTAATTAGTTAAGACCTTAGCTCATATCACAGATTTGGACTCCTTAATAGCTCTTACTCCACAAAGTCAGTGACTTTAAGCCTTTGCATGGCTGATAAGGTCACAAACACACAAAACTCTCACTCTCTTAACTGAAAATGCTCATATCTCATGCATGGCTTGATTCCAACGTCCAAGTCTTGATTTTTATGACACTACTCTACTATGATGCATAAATCAAAAAGTGAGAAACCTTGAAGCTTTATACCTCTATATGAAGCTCCCAACTCAGATATGCTCAGATCCAAGGGCCTGGACTCTCACTCCTTCTTCTTCACTCCAAGAGCACATAAAATCAATCAAAGGCTCTCAAATGCACTCACAAGCTCTATGAACGAAGGTTAGGGTTTAAGAGGGTTTGCTTTCTGAGAATGGTGGCCAAGAATGAGGCCATCATATCCTTTATATAGGGGACTCACCCTAAACTAGGGTTTTCACTCTCGGCCTAGTACGCCCATCGTACACTATGGTACGCCCATCGTACTGGGTGGCTTCTGCATCAAAAGTACACACATGAGTACACTAAGCGTACACTTGCGTATGCCCCGCGTACTCATTCACCACCTTTTCTCAGTAAAGGGATAAAATGAACAAGTACTCAAAAGATCAAGGGTTACAAGGTTACCTAGACTTGGGATGTTACAGATGATCCCCTACGTTATGTATCTACGATCACTGGCTGTTAAGCCCGATCTGCATGGGATGCTCTCCCACGTAACATCTCCATGATCATTGGCAGCTAAGCCCAAGCTATTATTCTATGTCGCGCAACATAAGTTGCGCATTTTCATGCACTGTAATTCGCGCATCACAAGCTTATACCAAGCATAACACCACGCTCTTGGTGTTTCTTCTCCCACAATCAGCATGGTTCTGTTATGCTCGGATGATAGAAAAAGCATTTTCCACATTACATCTCACTATAGTAAGGGTACTCTCCAACAAAACGCAATCACAACAGCAACCCTGCTACCTACAACCCCTTCGCACCTCTACTGTTTGGCTCTCGGCAACAGTCTTGCTGTACAACACCTACCTATAGCCTCACCACATATCCCTCAACATATTTGTTGCCTAGCTCTTGGAAAAAGTCTCGCTGCACACCCCTACCTATAACCCTTGCCACTTATATTACGGTCAACAACCTTACAAATTATCTGTTTGATAACACCCATCTCGGACAAGAGTTTTGCTACTTTTTATCATGCCAAAACTTCGTTGTGTATTGGTGTAGCAACCTTTCCTTATTCATCATAGTCTGGTCTAGCTACCTATGCTACCCACATCAGATTGGGGGGAATCCATCTAGATATCGCCCAAGCAGAAAATACTTTCAGGACGGTTATCGATGCATGTAAAGCAGACTATTTAGATGTTTATCACTGACATTCCATCTGCACATGACAACAACAACAACTGCGTCGAATAACAATTACATGGATTGAATGGTGAGATTAAGTTTCTTAGCTACCTTATCCTGATGCCTTATCGACATCATTATCACATAGCAGTCATGTTCCGCATAACATCATCAACAGCCTTGCTATGCAAAATAGTAGCAACTCGCCACCCTCCACCGTCAGCCACACAAACACTACCCCCAACACCAAGATGGTTCCCTCCAACTATGGAGAACCATCTCATCTCTCCCAACCGATCTAACTTGATCGTCGGAGCCTGCTCCTGGGGCATTGTCCTTGGGGAGGTTCTAACGGCCTTTTCTGTTGTGACCTCGCAAATTCCTTCTGGCGTAGAAGCACACTCTTAGAGCAGGTGGTCGGAGCCGATGTCGCATCAAGTATAGTATGTTACAGTAAGGCCAGTAATGTTTATGATTATGTTTTGTATCAATTACAACTTCCCAAATTTTAATAATTAATGAAAAATATTTTCCTCGGAAATAGTTTTTATACGACCAATTATGCAGTTATAATGATCACTCTGATTTGAAATAAACATAAATAAAATGGTCTTTTCTAGCCAAAAAAATGTAGATGTCACAAAAAGAGAGGAGAGAACATACCAAGTTTAATTTTTTTGGGCTGAATTATTTTTGGCTATGTTTAGTGACATTTTAGCTCCTTTTTGTTTGAGTAAAAGTTTTTTTTATCGGTCTAGCCTCAAAATAGTCATTGGAGATCGGTTCAAGGTAAGGACTGGTGTGACCTGAACAACTTGTGAACCATTGGGTTGCTTGGATTGTGAAAGACTATAGACCGTCATTTTATGTTTGTAATATTAATTTGAGAGTGTCATATATTATTTTGATATATAACAAAAATGTGAAGGTAAAAATAAAACGGAGATGGTGTTATCAGTTTCATTTGTATTTAAACATCAATGTTGGTTTTTGGAATGTTCTTTTTTGAATATGAAGTCATCTAGTGATTTCTTTTTTGAAACTCAGATATATGTGATAGAAATTAAGAAGGTAGTGGGGGGAGCTATAGTGGCCAAAGTGATAAAGAAAATCATTAGAAAATAAATGAAGCTTACCCATTGAAGCAAAGGAAGAAGGGTATAGGTGTATAAAAAGGGAAGGAGAGCAGAGAACATACTAAATTCAAAATTTTGGGTTGAATTACTTTTGACGATGTTTAGTGACATTTATGCCCCTTTTTTGAGTTAAAAGTTTTGTATCAGGATAGCCTTAAACATAGTCATTGGAGAACGGTTCAAGGTTAGGTTGGTGTGACCCGAACAGTTTTTGAACCATCAGGTTGGTTAGATTACGAAAGACTCTAGACTATCATTTTATGCCTGTAATATTAATTTGAAAGTGTCATATGTTACTCTAAAGTATAACAAAAATGTGAAAGTAAAAGAAATAGATTGGATATTAAATGAAGTATATACCATTTTTAATAAGGAGTCATATAAAGAAGAAGAAGAAAAATAGAGATGGTGTTATCAGTTTCAGCTGTATTTAAACATCAGTGTTGGTTTCTTGGATTCTTTTTGAATATGAAGCCATCAAGTGATTTTTTTTAAATTGAAAGATTTGTGATAGAAATTAACAAAGTAATAGGGGAGCGGTAGTGGCCAAAGTGATAAAGAAAATCTTTAAAAAATACATGAAGCTTACCCACTGAAGCAAAGAGGGAAGGGTAGAAGTGTATAAAAAGAGAATGAGAGTTGAGAACATACAAAGTACAATTTTTTGGGTTGAATTATTTTTGGCTTTGTTTAGTGACATTTTTGCTCCTTTTTGTTTGAGTTAAAGTTTTATTATTATTATTATTATTATTATTATTATTATTATTATTATTATTATTATTATTCTAGCCACAAAAAATATTCATTGGAGAATCAAGTTTGAGACTGGTGTGACCCCAACTGTTTGTGAACCATCGGGTTGTTTGGATTGTGAAAGACTCTAGACCATCATTTTATGCATGCAATATTAATTTGAGAGTGTCATATGTTGTTTTGATATATAACAAAAATATGAAAGTAAGATAAATAAATTGAATATTAAATGAAGTATATACCGGTTGGTTTTAATAAAGAATCATGTAAAGAAGAAGAAAAAATGCAGATGGTGTTATTAGTTTCATATGTATTTAAACATTGTGTTGGTTTCTTGGATTTTTTTTTTTAATATGAAGTCATTAAGTGATTTTTTTTTAAACTGAAATATCCGTGATAGAAATTAAGAAGATAGTAAGGGAATAAAATCACCAGAAAATAAATGAAGCTTACCCATTGAAGCAAAGAGGAAAGGGTATGTGTATAAAAAGGGAAGGAGAGCAGACAACATACCAAGTTTAATTTTGTGGGCTGAATTCTTTTTGGCTATGTTTAGTGGTATTTTTGCTTCTTTTGTTTGAGTTAAAGTTTCTTTTATTGGTCTAGCCTCAAAAATAGTCATCGGAAACCAGTTAAAGTTTGTGACTGGTTTGACCCTAACAATTTGTAAACCATCGTGTTGCTTGGATTGTGGAATACTCTAGACCATCATATTCTGCCTGTAATATTAATTTGCGAGTGCCATATGTTGTTCTGATATATAACAAAAAATGTGAAGGTAAAACAAATAGAAAGAATATTAAATGAAGTATACATCTGTGTTAATAAAGAATCATGTAACTTTTTTCTAGGTTGAGAGTGACGCGTCAATGTTATCGTTTTCAGATTATTGTAATTACTGTTATTATTATTATTATTATTATTATTATTGTTATTGTTATTGTTATTGTTATTGTTATTGTTATTGTTATTGTTGTTGTATTGCATAGAAATGTGTAGAGCATGGGGGTAAAATGGTCATTTTGTATCAATCAACACATTCAGTCAGATTTCCAATCAAACAACATGATTTATTACCCAATCAGAATTTCTTATTCACACAGATCTTTCTAAGTTAATACTTTCTCAGTCAGCAACTATCAACGAGGCCTATGTCTAAAATTGATATAGTTGAATTACTTTATTTGGACGGACCGATATGATTTATAGAGCTATGTCGATGCTTAAGTTGTCTTAATTCGAGGCCCACGGCAATTTTCAAAATACAATGCCTACATACACACTTATATACCGATTATGATGTGAACGTTCACAACATAGTAAAATAACATTGTTATGGTAGCAAATAACATTCATATATCCTACTAAAATAAAGCGGAAAAATAGACGTTTCCAATCCCATAGCCTTATTTAGTATAAGACTACTTGTTATTGTAAAAGAAAACAACATGACTTAGTACAAGAGTACTTCTTATTATAAAAGAAAACAACATAACATTCTTACATTTCCTTCTCATTGCTGACTCAGTCCTTTGGTTTCAACTTCAAGCAATTCTTTGGATCACCTTCATGTAGCTTTGTTGGTTACAATTGGTTTCTTGGCATTAAGAAATCTCATGAACCATATTGCAGACGTCTTTGGGTACCTGGTGTATTTCCCATGAGCGTAATCTATATAAAACAGACCAAAACGAATCGAATATCCTGAGGCCCACTCAAAATTATCCATCAATGACCAAGCGAAGTACCCCATAACTTTACTGCCATCTCTACAGAATGGAGGTGAAGTTCAGGGAGTTAGGATCATGCAACACAATGACGATTGACGCATAATACATAATTGAGTATACATGTGGTATATAATATAACTTTACCTAATTGCATCTCTGAGGCTTTGAAGATGTGAATTGTAATAATTAACACGTTTCTCATCAACACGAGCTTCTTCAAGTTTGAGATCGTTATCATTTGCATCAGGCCAGCCTACAGAAATAGTCCTCGTAATAATGTTTTCAATAATTTGTGATGAAATAAACTGGCAATTATATGTATAAGCATGCAGGTGAAAAGAAAATCTAAATTGATTACCATTCTCAGTTATATATATCGTTGGATCTCCATACTCAGATTTGATTTGCATAAGCGATTTGTATAAGCCAAGTGGATACGAATAAAACCAATAAACACCTCCCTACGTACACACATCGGTCAAGTAACTTAAATTATGAAACAAATTAAAAACACCGAATCTAATATCGAAAGGAAGTATACCTGTGGTCCGATAGGTACCCCGTTAAGATCATCTGAAAAATAGACAAAGCATATATATCAAGATGTATATCTATATCCAATCACTTAATTAAGCATATATATTTATATACCTGGCTGCTGATGGACCTTGCTATCTGTCAAGTAGGAGACGACATCAGTTGGTGCTGCAGTGGTGGCGTATTGAGCAGTATAGTAGTTCAACCCAAGAAAATCGAAAGATCCAGTCAATAACTCGACTTGCTTATCTGTGAATTCAGGCAAACGGCCATTTGTAACATTATCTATCATACTTTGGGGGTACTTGCCATTAAATATTGGGTTCATGAACCTGCAAAAAATTTGATCGATTAATATATATACGTACACATGACAGATTCTCATGAAGTTCATATATATATAGATAGACTCACCATCCGAAAATAAAGTCTATGCCTCTGTTGGCTGCATCCTTGTCATCCTGACTGGTTGGATCAAGTGGCTCGTAAAACTGTGTGTTTAAGGTAATTCCGATCACACCCCCTTGGCTTTCCTGCAAGGTTGATCAAGTCCCCACACTTAGTTAATTAATTATTAAACCGGTCGATCAATACACATAATAATGTTAGTTCTTGTATCATTGGGAGGCATGCCGCTGATTAATTACGCAGCTAGTTACGTACCTTGAATCGGTCTCTGTATAGTCTGACAGTATTAGCGTGACAAAGGAGTAAGTTGTGTGCTACAGTATAGGGCTCAGTGGCAGGATTCCCAGCCTCTTTATTGTTGAAAGCTCTTGCACGATTACGAATTCCAAGGTTATTTCCAGATGCGAGTATGGCTTGCTGAGTTTCGGTATCTCCTCCTCCTCCTCGCCCAGGTGCCATTGTCCCGTAAGCATAACCCATCGCAGCAAAGGTATACGGTTCGTTCAATGTGATCCAATGCTTCACCCGATCACCAAATTCCCAGAAGCAAAACTCCGCATAATCCACAAAATCAAGTCTGATATACACAACAATTAAGCTAGTCAATCTACAGTATCTATCTATCTATCTGAATTTATTACTTAATTTGATCGAGGTACACACATTAATATTGATTGATCTCTAATTTTATACTACCACTTACACAACTAGTTCTGATAAAAATCCCATGTAGTCTTCCTCCAGGGCATTGGGAAGGTCCCAATGAAAGAGAGTGGCATATGGTGTAATTCCATTCGCTATCAGCTCATTGATTAGGTAATTGTAGTAGTCAACACCTTCCTGGTTGATGCCCATGCTAGCTTTTCCACCTAATTAAGAGTGCATGCAACACCAACAAATTAATTAAGTACAGATATTTTAAAAAAAAAAAAAAAATGAATGTAATTTGTTTTTCTTCACGTTCTCGTGATTCATGTACCTGGCAATATTCTACTCCATGAAATTGAGAATCGGTAGGCTTTTAGACCCATTTTCTTCATCATTTGCACATCTTCCTGTGTACGTACGATCGATCGATCATGAACCAAGTATAATTATAAGAAAATATGTTTAGATTGATGGCGTAATTAATTCGATTTTAGAGTAGCATCACTAATTATAAGGTGATAATTAATGAGGATGAAGACCTTGGTTTTGTAATAAGCATTAATAGCCTTGTTTCCATTGTCACCATTGTCGATGGCACCTGCAATATAATGTAAAACAATTTTTCATCACTTTTATTGAAAGCTCCTGTGCATACAGAAAACATGGTCTCTTCATATATATTGAAAAAAATAAAAAAACAAACCAGGATTTTTGAGGCAGAAAGCATCCCAGATGCTTGGTTGTCTACCACCTTCAAATGCAGCGCCTTCGATCTATTAAGATGTGAAAACAAGTTAATGTTAGATTATAATTTCACATTGCCATAAGTAAACCACGAATTAATTATATAGAATAGAATTACATGAGTACTCGTGATTTATATATAAAAGTCTAAACAACGTATTATTTTTATAGAGCAATATATATGATGTGAGGATATACCTGATAAGCAGAAGTGGCGGAACCCCAAACGAAATCTGATTTGAAGTCGCTGCTACTTATGTCATCAGGGAAAATGTAAGTGTTGTTTGCCTTCAGAGTTGCTGCCATTATATCTTTGGATCAGATTAACTTTCAGCTGTGAAGAGGAATACTGGATTTGCCATCCTATTTATAGATAAAATTGGCACTGCATCCCTACTCAAACTCCAATAATTTATCTTATAAAAATGTTTCCATTCATTATTAAAATATCAATACCTGAAATTCAATATTAACAATAATTTCTTTTGAATCTCGTGTACTTGATTTGAGATATCTATAAAAATTGAAGTTCCCAGAAGATTGAAGCACGTGGTCGGTCTCATTTTTACATCCTTTTACACTGTCTCATCTCAGATTATAATGAAAACTTTTCATTATTCATAAGATGTTTAAAATATTTTTTAATAAAAATAAAATAAGTATGAATAATTCCCTACTTACCACAGATAAGATTGTAAATAACCTTATCCAACCAAGTTCAAGAGCTAGGTTATAGTATTACCTGAGGGAAAAATCTAAATGAAATAAACTCAGACTTTACGTAATATGAAACAATAAGTAATTATTCGTTGATTAAAGTCATAAAAAATTGTTCAAAGCATGAGTGAGTGATCATTTTCAAGGAAGTATCATCAGTAATATCTTTTGGATCGGCATTAAAAAAAAAGATGGGAACTAATGGAACTCATGCAATGCTGGAATTTGATTTGTTGCATTTAATAAAAGATAGGTAGAACATATGGAAAATAGGTGGAATCGGATTTGTTTTGTATTTTTTTTTAACCTTCTTCCCTAGTAGCCCGTTGTTGCAGTAATAATACTTCTTGATGTTTGAAAAAGATGGGAAGGATAGGAAGAACATATAGATTAAGTATCATATCTTGCAAGGATTCATGTATTAAGTATAAGATCATTTATTTAATTGTTATTTAACCGCCAAATAAATTCTAACATTATGATATGCTAATGGAAATATTTGTCGAGATCTCCTACAATAATATCCTTTAATTATGAAACAAAAAAACATGTGCCTCTTATTTTTAAGAACTCCAAGACAGCCTGCTTGTTTTTGATTGACTTGTCAAACATGACGCTTTTTCTAGAATCAAAATCACACACACACACACATATATATATATATATATATATATATATATATATATATATATATATATATATATATATATATATATATCCCTGAACTGCTCCCGTTCAACCCGTGTAATGTAACGGGCACGGAACATATCCCTGAACTGCTCCCAAGTAACAACAGCTCTCTGATCATCAGAGTATGACCCAGTTGCAAGTCTCCACCAGTCCTTGGCCCCCGACCTAAGCAGGTTCAGAACACACCTGACCTTCTGGTCAGCAGGACACGAGCAGGTGAAGAAACACCCCTCCACATCTGAAATCCACCTAATAGCCTTAATGGGATCCTACGTCCCATCAAAAGTAGGGGGCTTCGTGTTACTGAAGTCCCTGTACTGAAAACCTCTACCAACTCCTCCCCCCGTCGCTGATGCAGCTGTTGCGGTGGCTGTCTCTGCAAGGGCTGCATAGCGCTCATCAAAATACTCCACCATGGCGGTCTTGATCGATCCAAACATCTCCGGTAACTGAGCCCGGAATGCAACAACGACCGCATCATGCAAGATTTCCCGAATCCTGACATCCAACTCCTGTGTACCCATCTCCACCATTGGCTCAGGTGCTGTCGGCCCCTCCTGACCTCCATCCCCTGATCCTGATCCCGAACCGGATCCAGCCACGAAGCGTCTCGTCATCACCATTCTGAAACATATCACCAGATATTAGATAATTCATATAAATCTTTGAGAGCCAACTCCTTACTAACCCTAGGGATTGCGGCTTACTTGGCACGCGTATAGGTTCTGTGCTTTCAGTAGCATGGGCCCCTACTACCTTCCACACCTACCCATATTCGTCCCAAGTATCCCCACAACACCCTAACAATATGCACAACAAGGCGAGCGCTCAACCCTCACTCCTAGAGGAATGCTAAATATCTCATAACTGACCTCCCGGTCTCACTCAATCCCTCCTATCCATGAAACTTCCACCAACCCTGCAGCACTAATGTATGCTAGCCATACATAACGCTGGACCCTATAGACTTTCGAATATCCAATCCTACCCCAAGCTCCCAATCAAACAAGAACAGAACCTAAGGCCAAATCAAACATTCTCAGGCTATAAGATCTTAATTAGGTACAACTGTGATGCATACATTAGACAACTACAGTAATGATGTCAATCTCACATAAGGAATCCCTAGGCTATCAGGTATCATATAATCAGTCAATTCTATCATGCAATTCCAGAAGATCCTTAGCCTAGTACTAGCATGCTGTTCTAACATATCACGATATCAAATAATGTATGGTATTTTGGGGTCTACTTACTGGCTCCAGTTGATCGTACACCCTGCATCCTCCTTTACTTATTTTGAAAACCATTTAAAACCATTTTGAAAATCTTTCCTCGATTTGAGACTTGATTCACACGAATGTTCCTCCAATTCACTCAAACGAAGTCTCTGATACCAACTTGTAACACTCAAAAATTTAAGCTAAATTTAAACTTTCAAAACACGTCGAATTCATCAAAACATTACAACTTTGTTTTCAAAATACATTTATATCAGAGTTTTCCCAGAAACATAACACAATAGGAGGAGTTGTACGATCATGCCTTCACCTTGTCGCGATCCCCTGAGGTACCTGAAACAATAAACTGAAACTGTAAGCCCGAGAGCTTAGTGAGTTACCCCCAAAATACCGATACACATACAGTCCACACAACCCTGTCACACCTTAACATATCATAACAAACTGAGCAGAACAACACATAACGGGTCCACAGCTTTACAGACTTGGATACCCCTGGGCCCACAGTGTGAGTTTGGAATGCCTACCGGTCCCTCAGCTCACATCTGGATTGCCACCGAACCCTCAGTACGAGTCTGAAATGCCTACCGGGACCACAACTCGTATCTGGAATGCCCCCAAGTCCTCAGTATGAGTCTGGAATGCCTACTGGGCCCTCAGATCATATCTGGAATACTCTAGGGTTTGTTGGCTACCGCACGGAGCAGTACAACCTCAACCCATCACACATAACATATCACATGTAACAGATAATGCACATACAGGAAATCAATCAGTATCACAGGTAGTCCTACAGTGCTACCCTCAAGCGTATCAAACTAGCATGCATAACTAACTCCGAATCAACATAATACAACTACTAGGATATCATATCCAATGGGCCGGCCTTGGTGCCTTAGACACCTTAGTATAGTGAGGATAACTCACCTCGCAACTGTCGTCGGAAATAAGAAAGCTCAACTCCCGGGTCCAACACAAACTCCACCACCTAAAAGTACCACACAACCTTTTTCATAAATCTCCCAATCCCAGAAACCCACAGAATTCAATTGGTCAACCCTTGGTCCAAGTCAAAGTCCACAGTCAGAGTCAACAGTCTATGTTGACTCGACTCGCCGAGTGCAGGTCACCGACTCGCCGAGTTCTTCCTGAATTCGAGAAGTCGTGAAATCCTTGATTTGCTCGTCGAGGTCCCCTTTTAACTCGTCGAGTTCATATGCGGCCAAGATTTGGAAGAAGCCTTAGCCAACTCGCCGAGTTCAAGGCAATCTTCAACGAACTCGCCGAGTTGTTCATCCAACTCGCCGAGTTCATGGCCATCTTCAACGGACTCGCCGAGTCCCTCATTCAACTTGCCGAGTCCATGCAGTTCTTAATCCATGCAGATGCTTTTTAAGCCATGGCAAGGCCCCAGATTACAGATCCAAGCTCCTAAGGCATGTTTATCACATAAAGTTGCAATCTTTACGTACATGCAAAGCTCTAAAGGTACGAAATGATCAATCTAACCTCTTTAATGGAGTTTTACACCTTGGTAGAGTTTCATCCTTGTACAATCTGGGAACTTTATGGACCTAGAGGTCAAGGAAAGTCCATATCTGAAGTTACAACTTCAGATCTTAGCTTAAACATGGAGAGCCCTTCATAACACCTATCCAAGGGAGGTTCAAAGTGAAAAGAGCTTAAGGAACAGCCTAATACCTTCCAGAGAGTGATGTCTGATGCAATCCCTTAGCTTCCCACTAGTTCCTGGCCTTGCTTTTCCTTTCTTCTTCAAGTGCTTCCTTCCAAGGTTACTCCTCCAAGCTTGGACATACCAAAGAACACACACACACACACACGTTTTAGGGTTTGAGAGGGACAAGAAGCAGTAAGGGGAGGCTGGTGGAGGCCAATGATCCTTTAAATAGGGTGTAAAACCCCGAGAATTTAGGGTTTCATCTGCCAGCTCCTACTCGCCGAGTCCCTTGGTGGACTCGTCTAGTAGGTCACTAAACACGCGTTCCATTCCCACTTCTACTCGGCGAGTAGGGCAACCAACTCTCCGAGTAGGACATAAGACCAATTATTCTTTAATTAAATTCATACCTGGAATCGGGATGTTACAAATTCTCCCTGCTAAATTTATGCATATAAGAAAATATGAACTAATTTAACAGAAAAACTAGAAATAAAATACAAAATGTACAAAACAGAAACTTTTGGAATCAAAGTTTTCAGGAAATTTAACTTGCCATTTATCACTAAATCTCATATCACTAAAGTGCTTACAAAAGAAAACATCTTTTTGAATTTTTGATTTTATAAATTTTTTTTTTATTTTTTATTATGATTTCTCCCCCTTAAATCGTGCATGGGAACAAAGAAACTAAATGTGCAAATATAAACAAAAAAGATTTTGTCTTTGAAATAAATCATGTGAATAAAAACTCAGGAGTATCGAAAGAATTCAAATCGTAAGTTAACAATTGAAGGCACATTTAGATGACTTGATAACAACAAGCAAATGCATCAACTTATTCATCCTTAGTTGTGTTTCAATTTTGGAACAAAGTAAGTAAACTCAAAAGTTCTTTACACCGTTAAGTATAATCCCCATTTATGATCTCTTCCTTCTTCCTTTCCCGCAAATGATACATAATCACAATAAAAGTTCTGAATGTTGTACAGTTGAGAGATGT